ATTTAATATCGACTGAGTTCCGAAATGCCCAGATCATCCACGTTCGAGCCTACCAGAATTAATATTGTCAGCCCGACTAGGATATCGAGAAGATCTGAGTCCGACAGACATTACCGATAAAATAAACGTCAATCGAAGCTGTCAAGTGTCACGATCGGGCCCCACGGCGTCATATTGCATTAAATATAAGTGTACCCCTTTTTATCTATTTCTGAATATTCCCATTTGCCCCACTTGTAAAAAAGTATGTAGTATATATAAATAAGGGGGGATGGATGATAAAGGGGGGCACACAAATCAAGGAGAAAAGGGAGGGATCTCCTCATAAGAAAATAAAAAAGGGATTCATTCATTTTTTTTCTGGGAGGAGCAATAATACAAAAGGTTCTTGATTTTTCTATCTTGAAGATACCTACAATCGAAGGAACACCGATTATTCACGGAACAAGGGGTGTTCAGTTTAGTTGATCAAATCCGTTTATCAACATTTTGGCGCTAGAAGGAGGGCCTCGTAATTTATTCGAGGTAATTTTCCGATTGACAGACCACCATGAGTACCATTAATTCTTGTTTCAGATTCGAATTCCTGTTTACAATTTTCCTAGCCTATTTCTATTGTTACTTATCACAAACATCCCCCATCAAGAAAGATTTCCTCAGCTTTAGATGGAAACAATTTTGTATCCCTGCTCTTGAAATAAAAGAGACAAAAAAGTCCATGTTCTTTTCACATACCCGCAACCAAGATTAAGCTTGATTTGGTCAAGCTTCAGTACATAACAACTGCGTTTCCTTTTTTCTACTTCCAATTACCAAAACCTTTATTGCCAAGAAACAAAAAACAACAAAAACGGAGAGAAAGTCTGAAGAAGAAAGAGGATAAAAATAGCAGTTGATGAGCGGATAGGGACAAGCAATTTTCCTTCAACACAGGGAAAAAAGGAAAAAGGTAGAAATGGGCGACGTGGCCTATTTGTCTTTGTTTCCTCTCATCGCAAAAATTTGTTTTGCTGATGTCACAATCGGGTCAACACCTTCACCGACATCACCGCAGTTCGAGGTCGGGAACCATAGTCACGCGTTAAATACCAAACCTGGAAGTCGGTTATTGAAGCATAAAGGACGACGTGTCACCGGATATCAGTGCAATCCGAACAGCTCACCTGTAGCGGGACCGTCTCTATTACCGACTTCGGATTATTATCTATCAGATCTAAAATCCAAGCAACAAGTCGGGGCACGACTACAGACCGCGGCCGACCTTAAACTGGAATGTATCCGACCTCATTATCGGAACAACCTCGCAAGAAACCAGGTTTGACTTCTGTGTCACTACCCCGACCAATTTCCGAAATCGGCACCAACCGAGTTTAATCGGGACCAACACTAACCAACTGCAATAGTTGTCATCAATCGACTTCATCACTGTCGACCGACTTTACCTCAAATCGGACCGACTTCCGAATAGGGGCCCGATGTCCGAATTCTCAAACTCTCAATTGCCGAGTTGTTTGACCACGACTCTTCCGACTTCATTTCCCCGACCTTGATGACGGGATTACCTTTTCAAAACAGAGCCGACCTCACCAGAGACCATCGGGGCCCGACCTCATCATAGATCGTGGGCCCGACCTCGCCTTAGATCGTGGGCCCGACCTCGCCTTAGATCGTGGGCCCGACCTCATCACTCTGACGTCATACACTGTGGCCCGATTTCTTGACATACCGGCCAAATCCGACCACACCAAAGTCGGAGCCCAAGTTGCACCTCGGGCGCCAATTGTCGAGCCACGTGTCATAGCCGAGCTCGATCCGCAAATCACCACCAAACTCGGTCCTTCAGATCTCAGTCGAGAACAAAACCCTTTACCTGCAAATTCGAGCTCAACTTACCAACACTGATGATGGACTGAGCACGACTTCAGTCTCCAGGGACGAGCTACCCACGGCCGGGTCAACCGATTATGGTCGAGATCGACCTGCAACCAATCTCCGACTTCCAATTCGGCGATCTTACCTCCAAGCTCGACCGACTTCTCAATTTACCAACTGCCGAGCTAAAACGGAGCCTGGATTCACAGTTGGGTTCCCGACTTCTCAATTATCGAGACGGACTTGGCTTTGCCCGAACTTCAAAACCCAACTTCAGACATCGAGGCCAAGCCTGGCACAACCGACCTCAAAGCCAGGCCCACCTCAGTAACATCAAACGCAACCTCCATGTCGGAACCGAGTTCGCGACCCCAAATCAACTTCATAGTGACCGACTTCACCGTAGAAGTCCTCGATCGTTGAGGCTGACCGCCGGAGTCCCAATCTTCACCAGTGCCAATTCTGACTTCTCGAAAGTCACATCCGGCCAACTCAACCACAGTTAAATTTGAATTGTTAGCAAACTCGGATTTCCCGTCAACGAGTTCGGATCTTCGCGCAACGGCCGATTTCACAACGCGGCGGGTCTTAGAAGCTAGGCCCGACATCATCATCGCCGACCTTCGACTCAGAAACCTTAAGATTCGTGACGTGTTCGCCGCAAGAGCCGAAATTTCGACCTACCGCCGACTGCGAAAAGACCGCCAGCGATTATTCTCGCTGATCCAACTTTTTCAGATTTAGGTGAGGTTGTGGGTCGTCGAGCCCCAATCTTACTCTTTCTTCCGTATAAAAGGCAAGATAACAAATCAACAAATTGCTTTTGGGCTTTGGCTATTGGGCCCAAAATTATTTCCAAAAGAGCTAAGGCATAACATAGCTGGGTTCATTTCATCATTGTCCAACCCATGAGTTGCACCAAACAGTCACAGGGGCCCGACTTCGTTGTCTACTGACATACTTAGCTCTCCCGACTTAATTTATCGATGCTGGGGCGGAGTTCATTTTTTAATGCCGGGGCCGACTTCCTGTACCTGTGACGGGGCCTAATTCACTTATCAAAGTCGGAGCCAAAATCATTCACCAATGATGAAAGCTATCCCAACCAGTTCATTTATGTCAAGGCTGATCATCTTTTTGCGGCTTTCATATATTTTCTCGCCGTTGAGCCTCGTCTCCGGCAGAGCGACGTCTATATTTTCTCGCCGTTGAACCTCGTCTCCGGCAGAGCGACGTCTATATTTTCTCGCCGTAGAGCCTCGTCTCCGGTTGAGCCGGCATCCACATTTCCTCGCCGTCGAGCCTCGTCTCCGGTAGAGCGACGTCTATATTTTCTCGCCGTAGAGCTTCGACTCCGGCTGAGCGACGTCTATATTTCCTCGCCGTCGAGCTTCTTCGACTTCGGCTGAGATGACATGCCCAATTCTTACACCAAATCCTGAAGTTGATTTAGTACGGCAAAAACACATTATACCAAATCCTAAAGTTGATTTGGTACGACAAATGTCTATAACACCAAATCCTGAAGTTGATTTGGTACGACCAATATTCCGGTCAAGCGGTCGTGGTGACACTTTTACCACACTCATCGTATATTTACTCACTCATACATACGTTCATCATATACATGAATCAAGCCTACATCTTGACATCAACAAACAAGCCAACCACTTGAAAGTGAACGGTTCGGCCCAAAGTGCCTCAAAGTCGGTTAAACAACCGGCGTTCTTACAAAGAAGGCCCAAAGTGCCATAAGTCGGATAAAAATTGTCCATTTCATCGACTTAGCTCATCAAAGAGCATAAAGCACAAATGACATGCTAAACGTCTGACATGCTAAACGTCAGGCCATAGCCTGAAAATGATCAACAAAACATCCATAGTTCCAAAATACCCGGCCGACATCAATGTGCCATTTATCACAGCCAAAATTCATTTTACGTATGACTTCAGAACAGTTCTATTTGGAACGTGTCCTAAAGTCAGGGGCCTCTATGTTGACATCAAATTTTGGCCTCGCCTATTAAAATATTACAAAATATTACACGTGGATATATGTATTAAATAAACATAAATATAGCAGGTTCTCTAAGCTGATTGTTTAATATCGACTGAGTTCCGAAATGCCCAGATCATCCACGTTCGAGCCTACCAGAATTAATATTGTCAGCCCGACCAGGATATCGAGAAGATCTGAGTCCGACAGACATTACCGATAAAATAAACGTCAATCGAAGCTGTCAAGTGTCACGATCGGGCCCCACGGCGTCATATTGCATTAAATATAAGTGTACCCCTTTTTATCTATTTCTGAATATTCCCATTTGCCCCACTTGTAAAAAAGTATGTAGTATATATAAATAAGGGGGGATGGATGATAAAGGGGGGCACACAAATCAAGGAGAAAAGGGAGGGATCTCCTCATAAGAAAATAAAAAAGGGATTCATTCATTTTTTTTCTGGGAGGAGCAATAATACAAAAGGTTCTTGATTTTTCTATCTTGAAGATACCTACAATCGAAGGAACACCGATTATTCACGGAACAAGGGGTGTTCAGTTTAGTTGATCAAATCCGTTTATCAACAGGACTCACGAAAGGTACGGAAATCAGATCATTATTAATGTTATTGTTTTTGATTTTGTTGTTGTCTCAATCGAGAATAATCTACTTTGTCAGATTTATTTACTATCGTGTTCACCAAACCATGTGCTGGTTGATTTTGGTAATATTATAATGAGAAGAGTAGTAGATGCTTGTCATTTGTAAACCACTCTAGTAGCAGTATTAGTACAGCATGACTTGTGGGTCAATACCAGCTACTCCTTGAGAAATATTAATTTAATATGGTTATTAACAAGATATATATAAATATGCAGTGCTTGTCTATTATGAAGGAGTCATTCCCGACTCGATTCGTCTGCCAATAATGAAATATGACTGCATGAGCGTGACGCCATTTTTAGTGAAGGCCCTCGACATTAAAAATGTCGATCGTGTTGCTAGTACAAGTATCGGCAGTGATGGGGCGGCCTTACTACCGATCTTGCTACTTATGATCATAAGAGAGTATTAGACAAGCATGTTTTGATCCTTCATGATGATTTCCAAAGTGGTGTCGAGCGTGTATGCAATGCTTGTGTTCAACCCATTTCTCCATCCGACTCATTTTATAGCTGTGTTGATCATAATGAAACATCATCAAGAAATGATGGCCCATGCAAAGATTACTTCCTCCACAGTTGTTGCGCGTATCTTCCCGCCATACTTAACTTCCCTCGAAAGAGACAAAAAACACTCACTCTCTTAACTTGCAAGGCAGGTGGCGAAAAGACTCCCTTCAATTTGTTCAAATGTGACAGTTGCAACTACACGTGTAACGGATTCGCCTACTTATCACAGGCGGACGAAGACACTTCTCTTGTTCTGGGCATCGTGTGCGCCCTCATGCCCACCTCAATCATGCACCGATCCCACGGTGAGTACCATATCCTCCAATCGAAAACTTACAACCAACAACCGTGTAGCTACTGTGGCTTGGAATTAAAACCCGACAATAGCTACGTATGCAACAACTGCCGCAATTTTGGGATACATCCAGCTTGCGCCCTCATTCCGAACCAAGTACGCTACCGTAAATTCGACCCCCACCCTCTTTACCATTGGTGTTATCTCGAAAAGGAACAATCAATACTTTGCGAGGTCTGTGAAAATAGCATACAAAGTGGAGAGTGGCACTACCGTTGCCACCTATGTCAACAATCATTGCACTTTAATTGCGTCCCATCTGTCGATCGACTCTCCAAGATCAAGTTTGGGTTTACTGTCCGTGTACAAGGCCATCCATGCCCCGTCGCTTGTGTACGCGCGCTTTCAGTGTATTGCTACATGTGTGGCCATTGTGGGAAGACCATAAAGGAACACAACGACGAAATTGCTTTTGAGTGCCCCAAGTGTTATTTTAGGATCCACAAAAACTGTTGTGCAAAAACACTCTTGTCAGATAAGGTCGAGTGGGAAGGGGAATAAGCGGTCTCCTTATGTTGTGTGTTGTTGTAATAATTGGAGTTGTCTAATAATAGCTAATCTTGCATTATTTGTGAATGTCATATGGTCCTCTGCTCAAGAAAGCAGATGAGAGAAACATATCCATGCTTTGTATTTTATTTGCGTCAACTATAAGATAACATTTATTTTTTCTATTAGTGTTCCAAGAAAATTATGGCACTTTTGTTGTAATAAGTGTTACATGTAAAAAGAAAAATATACTTTTGCGAATCCTTAGATAAAAGAATATGAGTTATGTAAATAATAAAATTCATTTTGTTTTCACTTTACAAAACTTTAAGTGAACTTCTTGAATGCATTTCTGAAGTACATTTTTGTTTTACAAATATTCATTTTAAGGCTTGTTCTATCAACTTTTACGTTGAGTTATATTAATGTAAACTTACATTATGAATGTCATTTAATAAACTCACAATGAAATGTCATGTTATCTTGTGAGCACTATAATAAGTGTATTGGTGGTGACATACAAAGATTTAAAAAAAAANCAGGAAAACTTAAAAAAAAAAAAAAAAAAAAAAAAAAACCTTTTATAAAATTCTCTTTTATCTCTCACATCTTAGAGAATAAGTAAGATTCGTTACAATTGAGCTTCTAATCGAGACGAGTGTGTTAGATGGTGCAGTCTGTACTTAGCAGGAGAAAATACGTAGTAATCGTTGCTCATATTAGTGCGTATATTTCTTCAAGACAAACATATTTTCTGTAATTCGACTATCCATTGTTACAATTTGGATTAACCAAGTTATGTTAGTTCACAGTGTCTAAGGGGATATTAGTACTTTCATTCCTATCAGTAGTTCATAGTGTCTGAGGACATTTTCCCACATAATAAAAATCGAGTCTTCATCTCCACTTGTGTTATTCTTCCCATCTGTTGCTTTGGTCTACCATTGAACATTAGAGCAGGGAAATTAATTAAAAATGGAAAAAAATATAGATTGGAACACAGTTGTGACAAGAGGTCGCAACATGAACAACAATAATGGAGATCTGGATGAGAATCGATCTTGATTATGAGGCCAGACAATCCTTTCTTGTTGCATAGTTTCGATCTTCTTGGAATGGCTTTATTCTCGACTCTACTGGTTTGAACTACCAACCATAGCGGAGAGTTGATAAGATTGCACTTGGTGCAAAGACGAAGCTCGGCTTTATGGATGGACGAGTGAAGAGACCAGATCTAGATGCGTTCGAACAATTGAAGAAGGTCGATTACACGATCTACAACTGGATACTCAACTCACTCAATAAGGAGATAGTGCATGCCTTCTTGTGCGTTGAATCTGCGCAAGTGCTTTGGAAAGAAATTAAACAGAGAATTGGGGAATGCAGCGGTCCATTGCTATATCAACTGGAAAATGAAATCTCAAACATCAGACAGGAGAACAACTCAGTATCAGGTTATTTTACTAAACTGAAATGACTTTAGAATGAGTATTCTAGTAATCATATACATTTTCTTTTACATTTCCGTATTTAGTGTTGGAAGTTGGACAGATGTGCATATTGTTTCATTGCATACCCGCACTCGTATTTGTGCAAGTGCAATATTGTGTGAGTGAACTCTTGCCATTTTAGAAATGTTAATATTTTTTGTGGTCATTCAGAATGAGTAAACCAAATGAGTATGCAATGAAATAGGGGAAATATAGTATTCTGGTCCTATTTCCACCTTGTTTATTATTATTATTATTATTATTATTATTATTATTATTATTTTCAATTGATATCTACCTATTCCCCTTGTTTTTCGTGGGACTTCCATGTCAGGTTGTTTCATTCTGTGAAGCCAAGAATGGGACTTAAACATTAAATACAATAACTTGATTACAAATCATAATTAAAAAGGTCCCATGGCATAAATACTGAAACACAAGCTCAAATTCAAATGTTTGGACAGACATATATATTCATGCGTACACAAACCAAATATCAAACAAGAAAAATTAATAAAATGCATAAATGTGGTTGATGTTCACGGACTCATATCTGGCATGTCCATATACATGATGGGATATGGATATGGATAGTTGTTGTAGTAGCTGCATGGTCCTAGCTGCTTGTTTGCTGGAAAATGATAGTTATACTCATAAACCGGCAACGTATTTCTTGGTGGAAGAGCAGCAACATAATAATCTAGAGCGTTAGTTATATTATCTTCATGATCATTGAAGTTGTGGTTGTCTTTTAAGTCACTATCCAATTCCCATCTGGGAGTGTTGTTTTCAGATAAATCAAGACCGTCCATCGGGATGTGTTGTTTGTTCAGATCATATGCGTCGTTTTTGGTCCACGACTCTGCGTATTTGCCGGACTTGGCCAATTTCTTTATCAGCAGTTTTGTGCTCTTCACTTTTCCCGATACCGTCACCTTGTGCTGTTCAGCTTCAATTTTTACCTCATACACACCTATAAGGGACATGCATAATTTTCCTTATTCACATTAATTATTTCTAGTCCTAGTGTTGGAAAATGATGACTTCTCACGTTGTCTTGAGATATACGACACTATATTTTGTTATAGTTGAGAAATCTATTCAAGAATTGCAAATAAATCTATTCAAGAAGTTTTTTCACCTTGCGCATGCAGCCTTGACAGTGAATATGGACCTTGAGGACGTGCGTCTGTGGAACCAACAATTTCGCATTATCGAATTCTCTCATTATTCATATAAAAAGAAGATGAAAAGAAAGGTACGGATAGAGCTAAAAATGTTTAATAAGAACCTTAATCTTGACGAAGTTGAATGTCTTCTCCTCATCCTTGCCCATTTTCCACATGTTTGTTTGGTTCTGTTTCACTTTTGCTAATGCCAATTTCCAAGAAATGGGGAATTGTTTGCCAACTGATTTTCCTTTTCCTTTTTGTGGTGACTCTTTTATGAAAAAAAAAAGTGTTAACCACCTCTAGTTATATGTAATATAATATTATATGTATAGTTTTGCTATGGAATATTTCAGAAAAGCAAGTTAGCATGCAGCAGTAGTTGTGTAGTAAAGTATACAAGTCCTCAAGTACAATCAGAGTAGGTCTGCCAATGTTTTCCAAATAGGACAAATTAAGGAGATGGCGAGAAAAGTGTGATCTGAGACCAGATTTTATCATTCTAAACTAATTTCTTCATATTAATTTAAAAATTATATATATATATATATGGGCAATACCCGGTCCGGCTCGACGGGCCTCCAAGTTCGAAAATAGCGACCCAAAACTGGCCCCTACCTAGGCTCGTGCCGGGTCGGGCCCGGCTCGGATCCCAAACCCATCCAAAAAATAAAAATAAAAAATAAAATCAAATCTCTGTTGATTTTCCCGACAGGCCCGGCCCATCGGGCTGGGGCCGTAAAATAAATGCCCTGAATCGGTCCGGTTGAAATTCGAGCTGAGTCTGGACCCGTGGACAAAGGGCTTGATTGTGACAGGTCCATTACGGGTGACCCGTTGCTCAAATGAGAATGAATCATAGTGAAAGAATAAAGAATAAATATGTACCACTAGACCTATCATATCAATTATCATTATTAAGTCAAATTTTACTAAGTAATGGTCAAACATGCAGTCAAATATATGTATTTAACCACTCATTAAGAGTACATGTGTCATTAGACACAATACCCATGGGACCCATCTATTACAATCACCCAAAATCACGTAACCACCTGCCCATCTCTAACACACTTCACACACCTACTCGTCTCTCACACACTGCACACACATATACACTCACACATACACACTTAATTAGTACTCACACACAATCTCTCGCCGCCGAACACCACCGAACAGCCACAGCCAGCCGCCTGTCGCCGCGCCTCTGCCTACCGTAGCTTGAGACGGCCACCGTCAACTAGTGCCTCCCCTACAGTGCAACTCTGCCATACGCCGTTGCGATTCTGACGAGATGCCACTGCCTCAACCAGCCACAGCCCGCCTCCTGCCGTCGCGCCTCCACCGACCGTAGCCTGAGAAGACGGCGGTCCACCAATACCTCCCCTCCATTGCAGCTCTGCCGCACGCTGCTGCGATTCCGACGAGATATTCCAATGTAAAGCAAAACACAACATTTTTATCACCTGAGTTGCTGGAAAGAGAAAAAAGCTACCCTTCTGAAATAGCAACTCAAGTAACTCCGGTGCCTGCACAACAACAAATCAAGAAAAGCAAAACTAGATTAGGTTATCCAATATAGTTTCCTTCTAGTACATATATTCTCCCAGACCACTGAATCTGAAATATTTTTTTATTTTTTTTTACTTAAAAAAGAAAGAAAAGAAAAAAGAAAAAAAGATGACCAAACATTCCCCAAGTAAGTTCCATCACTATTATCCATATCGAGAGGCCAGTAATATGAAAAGTAGTAAAAACGATCGAAATTGACCTACGGTTACCATAATACTGAATCAAACCCTGTTCATCCTCCCTAATTCCCAACTACGAATACAGTTAAATGTTCCATGCTTTAAGCTAATGTAGCACTCAATACAAACTACTGGTACCTTTATCTGGTCATCAATTTCCACCTTTTCACAAGCAATAACTGGACCTGCATCCAGTTGGCGGACCGTATATGCTACTGAAACTCCAGTTTCTCTCACACCATCCTGTACCAAAAGTCCATTTTTTCTTTTATTATTAGGAATAAAACAAATCGAGCAAGCCAATAAATTATAACAGTAAGTTATAATGGAATATAACCTGTACCGCTCTCTGAACAGGTGCAGCCCCACGATATAGAGGAAGGAAACTGGGATGTATGTTGATTGTCCCTACAAAATTGCACCTAAAATCTGTGAGACGATATCATATTTTAAGCAAATATGAAATCAAGATTAATTAATCCATGCACATATCAGGGGTATGTCTTAAAGAGTAGAAAATGCATAAAGCTATTTCTTGATGTAAGGATGAAGTTTCAGTAATTCCAGAGGCATTCCTAAGATCGAATAATGCAGCTTGAGTGGCTCGCCATTGTTGTGCCTTCGCTTGTATGAAAAGATGTACCAATATGATAAAAATATCATACCAGATATGTGCTTTTAGAAATTTGTTCATCTTAATACGCCATGTAAATTAGCCCTTATCAAGCGCCAGATTTATTTAAACTTTATCACCACACTTCCTAATCAGATAATTTTATACATCTTTTAGGAATAATACTATATTATTTCACAAAAGAGTGGACATCCAATGTCCTGCATAGATAGTTACAACTCAAAAGGGTCATATTTTGACGAGTCTTTCGTAATATATCTCTGTCGGTAAACCTTAAGCGTGTCGAAAGTGATTGTAAGGATCCAGAGTGGTATTTTACAAAGACAAATAATATATGTTTATATATTGTTAAATATCAGAGCCAAGGGAAAAAAGAGCCTGCAATTAGAACAGTGTTCAGCTCTAGAGTGACCTATTAAAATACGACTACTAAAACAGAACGGTCATCTGACCAACATACTTATTTTTTATTTCTTATGCCACAAAAGTCATCTTTTCGCAGACATGAGACAGAAAATAACATCAAAAGAAAACCATTAATGTAGAACAGGGTACATTCAGATAAGAATTTGTCATCATGCACATTTCCCTACTTGTCATCATGGGGAAATTGAAGAGCAATTGAGACTTTATGCATGACTTTCGGAAGACATGCACGTTATTTCATCTCTAAAATAATAACTAAACTTGAGTTATAGTAATAAAAAAATGACGTCAGAAATTAATTGAAATGCCCAAGATAACCGTTGAGTACATGATACATTTATGAACAGTTATTTAGTTGAATCGTTTCTGTAATGCTGTTAAGCTCTTTATTTGATATATAACTCAATGAGGATTACAAGGTATATATATACAAGCCAAAGCCAAAAGAGATGTAAGAAAGGAAAGTAATCAAAGAACCTAATCTACGGGATTTACCACATCACCTAATTGATACAATCTAATCTATACCATATTTACAATAACAGTTTTTAAATTCCACAATCCTCATGTTCATAGAATACAAGAATTAGCAATAACACAGTCGAAAAGGCTTGAGCAATGATTTTAAACTAACCCATAGATGGAATTTTAAGGAACTTTGACGGCAATATATTCCCATATGCAGCCGTGATGCAAAGTTCAGGTTCCAGAGCTTTCAATGAGGAAAGAAATGATTCCTGCTAGGTGGAGCCATAAATGTAGAATCTTTACTCCAGAAAGGTACAAGAATAAGAGGTTCCGAAATATACTCAACTGCCAAAAGACCTAAGCATTTAACACAAGTGTACTGTGAGATCATCCATATATATATAATGCAGCAGAAAACCTCTAAACTAACTTCTGAATGTACGTACATATTTTAAAAGATACTCTAGTAGATACAGAAATTAAATTAGAGTAGTCCCGATAACTGGATATATTTTGAGTTGCACCATATGCTAAAACTATATGCATTCATATTATTCGAGTACAAGAAATTAGTTTTCTGCAGTAAACTTGTACAATCCAATATATAAATTATAAAGGTATGAAGCAACTCTTTGAAAATTTTACATGTGATGATAAATGGTTTGGAATGTTAACTGCGTTGAAAATTGAACATGTATTTTTCTAGATAATAAGAGGTGTTCATGGCAATAGAGCAAGGTATCATGCATCAGAAAGAAAAAAGAACACTATTACCTCACCAGCTTTGATTGGTGAGAAGATCAAATCAGCGGGTGCCCGTTGTCCAGAGCATATTGTGCAACTGGAGAAGGCATCAATTTTCTACCCCTTTCTCTTCCAGAAGGCGGTTGGGTCACAATGGCTGCTACCTGAATCACAACAGATACTTGAGAAAATCAAAGACAAGGTTAATCGAAATTCTGCATACATATTTCGTGCACTCCCAAAAAAATACTTTTTAAAATAGCTTCAAGACTGCATCACAATGGGACGGAAAAGTCCACAACATCCTGTGGTTGATGAATGAGTTGATTAAAAACTGAATCAACTTTCAGTATTATATCATTCATACACCTTGATGTTTGCAGAAAAGCGAATTTCCAAACTCGCAAGAACCCTCATTGCAATGCTCATAATAGATATGACATTTGAAAATCAGCAGAGCCTCCACTAGCAACTGTTCTTAAATTCTTCTCTTGGTTTCAACTGTGTGTTGACTTGTAACCGTAATGAACATCTACCAAGTGCCGATCACCAGTAGTTGGAGGTATTTGGAGGGGAGGTGAAAGGGAGGGACTTCATTTTTTATACAAAAAAAAAAAAGAAAAAAAAAATTACTTGTTTGGTTGAGTTTTTCAGAGGGGAGCTGACAGGAAAATTTTAAAACACCCAAGTTTCCCTCACTTCCAAAAAAAAAATCACTTACTTTTACAATGAACATTACAATTTTCCCTTCCTTTGATGTTTTAACCAAAAACGATGTTACTATTTTTTCCTCACCTCTTCTCCTCCCATATAAACCAAACAAAGGTAAAACTAGTTTGCATCCTATCCGTACCCTCTCTACCCTCAATTAAAAATACTTTCTTCTCATTGAACCAAACATTGCCTAGTTATTCTTTTGTATATGCAACAATTAAATCAAATGGTGCCCAATTAGATACATAAAAAAACTTCATCAAGTACCTCAAACAAAGAATCTGGGGCGAATGAAGCATTGAAAAGGGCATCAAGAACACAAGTGGAAACCTGACATAAAGATAATTAGTAACAAAATAGCAAAAGTGCACATTTTTGTATCGCATTGACAAATCTTATAGGCCGAGAAAGAAAGTGTTGCACCTGAGGAGAGGCCAAGAAAATGAGACGCTTCTTTTGCGTAGTGAGGGCCTGAGAAAGAGGAGCAACCGACGAAGGCGAAGAAGCTGCGGCGCTCAGGCAGCAGGAGCGCCGAAAAATCTGTGGAGACGACAGCATCACTCCAAATGAAATCAACAACTAAAACCTCCGTTTGTGTTCATTTTCTGGACAAGTTTTGTTTTGAAATTGTAATGCATTGATAATGCCCAATACTTGACCAGAGATAAGGCACCTATTTCCTCCCCAAATAGGGTGAATTTGGATATATTTTACAAGTTATATTACGTTTTTTTTTCAAGTTTTTTTTTTCTTTTTTTTTTTTTTTTTTTTT